CCAAACACAAGCATCTAAAACACTTGATATCTCTATTCCTAGGAGTTTAAGAGTTAGAAATACCTTTGTTTTTATTATCATTAGCATCTTTTGGCTTGGTTTTGTCATCTCTTTTGAATTGGACAGCCTTGTTATCTCTCCTCCAATTCGACCTCCAATTAGAATTTTGGGCCGAATAAGTGTTGGCTTCCCTTGTGTTCCCCTTTTGCTTTAATTGTCTTTCAATATTTATAGTCATGTGCAACATATCATCAATCTCCACATAATATTGAAGCTCTACAATGTTGGCTATGTCTTTGTTAAGGCCATTTAAGAACCTTGCCATAGTAACTTCCCTATCCTCTTCAATATTAGCCCTTATCATGGCTATCTTCATCTCTTTGTAGTAGTCTTCTACACTCTTGTTCCCTTGTATAAGGTCTTACAATTTTTGATGTAAGTCCCTATAGTAGTGAGTAGGAACAAAGTGCATTCTCATGATAGCCTTCATTTCGGCCCAAGTGGAAATAGGTCTCTCTCCATTTCTCCTTTTACTTGTGATGAGTTGATCCCACCACACAATGGCATACTCTCTAAACTCCACGGCCGCAAGCTTTATCTTTTTCTCCTCCGAATAATTGTGGCACTCAAAAATAAGCTACACCTTACGCTCTCATTCAAGATAAGTATTCGGATCATTCTTGCCTAGAAACGATGGAATTTTCATTTTGATGCTCCCAATGTTTTTATCAAGATCATTTCGACCCCTACCATAATTTCGACCTTCATTGACCAAAGTAGCTTGGTCATCAAATTCTTCCTCCACTTTCTCATCAAAAGGTGGTGTTGGAAGTTTTCTTACCCTTGGATTGGTTTGGGAAGCTTCCCCTCTCATGGAATTTAACTCACTTTTCTTAAGTTCTAATTTATGTTGCCAATAGCTAGTTGAATCCTCTCAAATTGTTGTTGCATTGCTTTGAGGATAAATTCTTGATCTTTTGATGTTCTTTCACTCCCTTGTGGCTCCATCTTCAAATCTGAAATTTTAATAACAAACAAAATATATTACAACCTCACAAATCACTCCCTCACGTGTTTACTCTCGTAGCATGGGCACTCTGTTTTACTCAATTTTGGCTTTTACCCTCTTTTGAGCTTACACTCTCTTGTTTTTTTACCACTCAAGCAATCTTTTATAACTTTATACAAAAAGGACAATTCAAACAACAATTAATTATCACTATGCACTCAATTTTAATTAGAGATAATAAAGAATTCCTAAAGAAACAAGATACACGAATTCAACTCTAGAAGCAAACTAGAACAATCTAAGCAATGAAGACCACACACTTGATATAGAAATAAGTGTATAATGGTTTTTATGTTAATTAGGCAACAACGAATCAATATTATTACCTCAAAATCTAATAAGAAGTAAATTAGCAGAAATATTAAATGAAAACTAAATATGCAAGAAAAAAATGGTTAATCTAAAATTTAATGCACGAAACTTGTAATTCTCTAATAGAACCAAAAGTTATCACCCAAAACACTCAAATTAAGTGAAACAAATAGTTTTAGATGAAAACAAACTCAATTGATGTGAGTTGTTTCCAAACAGCCCCAAAAATTACACAAACAATCTCAACTAAATAAACAGCCTTGAAACGAATTTTTCTTTTAAATTTAAAATGTATTTGAATGTTATATGAGATAAATAAAAGGGAAATAACAGCAGGTGTTTCAATTACACAAGGTAGAATTGGTTGAAGTGTGTTTTGCAAAATTAAGAAAATTAGACTAATCTGATTTTTTTTTTTTTTTTTGCGCTGAATGCAAAGTTGTCTCTTTTTTTTTAAGAAAAAAAATAATAAAAATAAAGACAATAAAATAAGGACAAAATAATTTACTTGGGGAACCTGGCTCTGATACCAAATGATGCGGAACTCCAAGACCCTTGCTTGAACCTTAAAACTCTTCAATCAGTTTAGAACAGAATTTAGATCACAAGTAAAAAGGAATCAAATTTGTTCAATCACCCAAATAGTAGAAGTTAAATAGAACCCAAGAAAAATAAATGATATCTCTTGAACCCAATCCAAACAAGCACCAAGAAAAATTGAAATAGGAAATCAAAATTGAAATACAAGTAATAACAATTGTATTCCAAATCAACACCTTGTGCATAAAGTGAAAAGAAAGCCAAAACACTCTTAACTCAATTCTAAAATATTTGATTACAACTCTTGATGTCCACAAAGAAAAGTTTCTTTGGTATTTATAGCCAAAGAAATTAATGATAAGTTACAACACAATAACTACAATTGTAACTCCCACAATAACTAGGCTAATAATGTAATAATTACAATTGTAACTCCAACAATAACTATGTTAATTATAGGTATGTAATTGTTATGTAACTCCTTGTAACTCCAATCTTTTTAACCAACACCACTAATTGTTTGTGACACCATATATTTATGGGCTCATTCTTGTAATAACACTAAGACAAGACTTAAGCTCAAATGAGTTATACTTGACTATATGGGCTTACTTAACTCAAACTAAAATAAAACAATCCAAAATACTTAAAAACAACTCAACTAATTCAGCCTATACACAAGACTTATTCACCCATTACCATTAAGACTCAAACAAACCCAAATTATCTCAAATCATTTAAACTCAATTAAAGTTACGAATTTAGGCTGTTCAAAAAGCTCATATTTGAACTTTCCACAATTGGCCAACCCATCATCCACATGTTTTTGAGTAAAAACTTAGAGAAACTCTGTAAGCTTTTTTGCCTTTGATCTTGTTACTGGTCCGCTTAAACATTCTAGGTTGGAACTCTATTTATGTTCATGTTATTTGAAATTTGCTCCAAGTCACCTTTTGATGCTCTTTGAATATCTTGAGTGTTTTTAGTCTTATGTGCATCACAGTTATTCTCTCATATTATTAATTTTAACCATCACGAGCATACACATCCTTCTTCACTTGTTGGTCTCTAAGTTATTTTTTTAGTTTGTTCTCTTCCTTAACTTTGCATCAAATTAGTCCTATACTTCCAAAAAAAGTTCAAATCAGTCTCTTTCTATCAATAATCTCTGGCATTGTTAATGATTATATCATGTGTCATTAAGGTTGACACATGACATCTTTTTATTATGCATTTTTTACCATCGAATGTTATATGTCGTTTGACATATCATCTAATATTAAAAACTTATTATTTTTTATTGTTCTGAATTAATTTAAAATAAAGAAAATCGAACTACTCCGAACACTTCAAATATTTAAATCCCCAATCTCCCCCAGCTATTACCTTCTTTTTCTTATTCCTCTCATTCCCCCTTCCCCTCCCCCCATAAGCATTCTCATTACAAGTTTCCTTATTATGACCAGGTGACAAGTGGTGACTGTGTAAATTTTAGCTCTAATCTAGTCAGAGTCCATATTATTGGGCCAACCAGTTTCGGCGAGGAAAACCCAAATGTTCGAGTATTGGAGTCGTTTCATGGCGAAACTTAAACCGTCAACATTTGGTTAAAGAGATTGTGGTATATCAAACTATAACCAAGTTGGTGAACGTAATGCATGTAAACTTGAGAAAAGCATAGTTCATACCAATGTTTTGAGGTTTTTATATTGTAGCAAAATAAGGGTATATATCAATAAAGAAAAGCGATTTGGCCTAATTTAAAAATTGTAGCATCAGCTTCATTATTTGAGGTATAACATCAAATTCAAATGTCTCATTTGATAGTAGAAATGATTATATAAGGACATCCATGGTCACGATGGTGATTATTTCCACCTTATGGATTCCACTCGTTTTCAAGGAATTCTTGATCTTACATACAACAAGTATGAGATTAGATCTCAATTTCAGCCCAGAAACTTTGAAGATTTTGTTGCTGACAAGTGGGTATCAAATCTCGGTCTCTATATAGTGACAGAAAACATTAGTATAAATTCAATTAAAACAATAAATTTGACTCGTGTAACTTTTAACAATTTAATTAGTTATATTGATCGTATAAGACAAGATTGGGAGAAAGAATAGAAAAATGGTTGCAACCAGGGGAAGATCGAGAATTTAAGAATTTAAAATGTTTGAACCAGTTTTTTTTATATATATATACTAATTTAAACCAGCAAAATAAGTTTGTCATTTCATATGACAAATGCCATCTAAAGTGA